GAGGCAGTGCTGGGTGTCGCAGCCCTTCCACTGAGACAGCAAGTCTGCACGCTTTGAACTTCTCTGGGATGGCGACTGCTGTGTTTGCAGTGCACTGCCATAAGGCTTGTTGGGGAGGGTTTGCTGGAGCCACTCCTGCCCTGCTCTGCCTTTACTTTAGACACGAAGGCCTGTGTGAGCTTGTTCACTTCACCTCTTAAACACTAAAAACCTGTAGCTTTAAAAAAAAAGAGTAGCTTTGCTGTAGCCCACCTCAACACACTTTCATAAATGTATTTTTCTTGGTGAGTAGGGATGGAGATCTGAAAATCAGCCTCCTTTCTAAGTATTGTCCAGGAAGATGACGTAGCTCAGAGTATCATGTGGAGGAATATCTGCTGCTGTGGGGTCTGGAAAACCTGTAAATGTTCAAGAGCGCCAAAGATGGCAAAGCGTGGGAAAGGGGCCTGCTTCTCAGGGAGTTACAAAGACGTCTCAGACACCAGCTGCTCTTGAAAGGTCCCAGCTTTGGTCCCACATCACCAGTTGCTATTGCAATTCCTGGTTTCTTCTGGTGTGCTGTCAGCCTTGTGCTGCTGTTCTCCACTGCTCCGGCGCGCCGTGCCGACCGGGCTCTGTTTGCCCCTGGCCTGGGGGCGGTCATGGTTCGAGTCCTGCCTGGAGCAAAACACACTGTGCCAGAGATCAGACAGGCTGCGCTGTGCTGGGACTCAGGGGATGCTGCCTCCCGCTCCGCTGGGCACCTAGTTCCCTGTTTAACAGCCTGTAAAATGGAGATAATTATTCTACCCCACCTTGAGAAAGGCATTAAAATATTCTGATTGTAGGAGGAAGGAGCTGTTGTGTATCACTGTGGCCTCTGCACAGCTGCTTGACTTGGTAAAGGAACTGTCTGTCCTAGCCTGGTCTCCTTGTTTGCATGTATTTTGTTGCTAGAAGGGAGTTAAAAAAAAAAACAAACAAAAAAACCCCCCAAAACCTGTGGCATTAGGCCCTTGAAAAGCTTCTGAATCATAAAATATGTAAGTGATTGTTTTAATGAATCTTCCAGCTTAGCCCTTCCATGGAGCAGAGACCGTTAACTGTTTTGCCTGTGATGTGTCTCATCCAGGTCGGCTGTGAACAAATCCTTGCCCATGCAGACCCAATTCGAGGCCTGGCTGCACTCGTTGGTGAGTCAATAGTATCAATCTGATCTTCTATTTAACGGCCTTTTCTAGAAGCACCTGTAAGTAGAGCGGTTGCGTTGCTGTGCGGGTTGTGTATCATGGGAGCTGGTACGACTCCCACTGGGACCTTTTGCCCCATAGTGGCTTTGTCCGTCAGGATGTCCCATGGTGGCACATTGGTTCATTCTCTGACCTGTCCAAACACCCTCGTCAGGTTTTTCAGCCTGTTGACTGTCCGTGAGATGTGGACTTCTAAGGTACTTGGTTCTTCTCTAAAAGTTTACCCATACTTTGGCCCAAGCAGTTGCATGTTCAATGCACACTTGCTGAAGGAAGTTCTCTGGTCTGCTTGTTGAGGACAAGATTGTCATTGCAGTGCCCTACGGTCTTAATCCAGTGGCAAGAGAGTCTTAAATACACCATGTGTATTTATCTCTGTGAGTACTTAATTTGTCAGCCAGCAGTGTTTGTAAGGATATTATTAGAGATGGAATTCAAAGCTCTTTTGAAGACTTCCTCATAAAATCTCTCAAGTTGTTCATTAAAAATAAATTCTACATTGGTCATTATTCGGAAAAACAGGTTCTGAATGACAAAAAATTGATTTAAGAAATTCTTACCGCTTTTAACGCCTCTTAGTAGGATTGGGAACTAATGCTTTTTTTTTGCAAATTGTGCATGTTGCCATGATAGCACCAAGTCAGAAATGTACCAACTCCAAATCACTGCTAAAGATGTTTGGCTGGCAACTAGAAGAGCTGTTAAAATACTAATATCTTGGCAAACACTGCCAGCTCTGCTTGACATATTCACATCCTACTTCCTCTCTGAGGCGGAGTGAGACTCTTGTTTCTTTGCGATGAAGAAGCTGAGGGTAGATTTCTTCCTCCTGGCCACGGGGGAGCACTTTGTGCCTCTCCCTGTCTCACCAGCTTCATTCACTTGGGACAGTTTAATCATGCAAGAGGCATGATCTACCAGAGCTTTGGGCAGGGGACTGGCTTTCTTCCATACCCACCCCTCTGTGTCGTACAAGAAAACACCATCTTCTTTCTGCATGTGCTGCAGCGACGCACCCCCCGCGAGGTACAGCGTGGACTCGTGGGCTGCGATGCTGAACTGGCAGCAGCTGAACGGGGACAGCGTTAGCGTTGTCCACTGGTTGCTCACAGGACAATAATACTCCGTCTCCTTGACGTGAATCCATTCCTCCGCCTGCAAAGGACACCACCAACACTCACCTGTCATATCACGCCTCGACGGGGCATCGCTGTCACGTCAGGCTTGTTTGGGTCGTGATAAAGGAAACCAGTGTCTCAACACGCGTTTGAATACCGTGGGGCTGGAGGTGCCGGGTTTTCAATCTGTTCAGCAATCAGAGCCTCAGAAGAAACTGAATAAAATACCAGAATAGCACGGCTGTGAAGGAGCTTTGTCCTTCTTGGAAAATCAGAGGAGTGAGCTGAGCAAGGTGCCACAGGGACCTGCTGGAACTGGTATAGCCTGCGTCCTGCCTGCTTGCTGGACATTAACACATTGCAAAGGAAATCATCTAAAGAGGGCTGTATTGCCTTGAGTTGTGGACAATAACTGAGTTTGTGTCCCCTGAAGGAACGCGATGTCAGCCTTGGTGTGCAGTTTCTCTTTACAGTTTCTGTCCCTTCTGCTGAGCAATTAAGTCCTCTCAGACACCCTCATTGCTTCAAAGGAAACCACACCTGCCATGGTGCAATGGGGCCAGGCCCTGAGTCTGTACGCTTTCAAATGGGAATTACTGAATCATCTTTCAAAACTCAGTTCTCTTGGCCTCAGGGAATGGGATTCTGCTAGAAGGAGCCTTTCAGTCCCTGTCAGGTCTCCTCCCAGCTTGCCCTCCCCAAAGGTGGTGCTTTCCCTCCTCTTTCAGAGATGGGAAGTCCAGGGGCAGGTCGGTGACCAGTGTTACACTGGGGTTTCCCTGTGTTAGTGGGCTGAGCCTCCACTATATGTTTATTTTTTTAAAAAATGCTTTAAACAGCCTTTGTGCTGTAGCGAAGCTGTGACACCAGGGTGGGTTCTAACGCACGCGGTTGTAACGGCGGGTACGTTTTCACAAGCTTATTGCTCTAACTGTGCCAGTCCACGGAGAGATCCAAAATAACCAAGTTACCTGTTGGAATAAAACAGGGCCTAGCAATAGAGAGACCTATTTTGGATCAGATTTGGGATTAGAAGAGCAAATTAACTTACTCCTTTTAGTGTCCTTCCTCCAATGCAAAAGATCCTGTCTCTGACTGCAGCCATCCCGTGATCGCAGCGGGTGAAAGCCATGGCACTGTTGCCAATCCAGCGTCGGAGGTGAGGGAGGTAGCTGTAAGTGTCTCGTAAGGTTTTACCCCCAGAGAAGCCTCCTGAAAGGAAAGCAGAAATCTTGGAAATCTATCCATCATCCTCTCTGACATCCAGCAAAGCTTCTGCAAACATCAGCAGAGCTGATTTTTTTTTTTCTTTAAAATACCTGAGAAGCTCAGGTTTAAAATTTCACACCATTCTGGAGAGCTGATGTGGTGTGAAATTTAAAACCTGAGCTGCTTCGGTATTTTAAAG